AATCCCACTTTAGTCCGATTGTTCACAAGATCCTAATTCGCTTTAAACAACAACAAACACACTCCAAAGGCAAAAACATACCCTCGTCCTGCCCGGCCGACGTGCGGCAGGAGGTGGGGGGTGGGGAGGGTCCGATCCTGCGAGACCCTCGGACGCGACGAGTCGGTTTAGACGCTCGACCCGGGGCCGGGCGACCCTCCTCCGGTTTGCTCAGGCCTTCCAGCGGGCCTCAGACGGTGGAAGCGCCAGCCCGTCCCCCGGGGGCCCTGCGGCTCTGCCCTCCGCTCCGCGACGCCCGACTGCGCCCCCGCGGCCGCCGCGGCAGAACGTCCTGCGTCCCGGCTCACGTGACGTCCCCGCGCCGCGCGGCGCCCGCGGAATGCTGGGGCCCCGCCCCCCGCTGCTGGGAGTGGCCGCTCTCCGGCGGGCCGGGTTCCGGGAGGGCCGGGTGCTCGAGCGGCCGCTGCCGGGAGGCCCGGGGTGCCGGGAGTGGCCGCTGCCGGGAGGCCCGGGGTGCTGGCGCTGGCATCTCTGCAAGCCCTTGGATCGCCTGCCTCTGCGAGACCGGAATAACGCAGCAGGCTGACACACCGACAAGAATGATTCTGGCAAGCTCTAAAAATAACTTACTTGGTAGTTGCTTTGTCTAAAACAGCCTCATAACGTGGTTGCAAATGTAAGATGTAAGAATGGCAGTATTGAATCATAAATCAGAAATAGGTCTTATTTTGACCTATCAGTGTTTGTAAATATTGAGAAATGTAAGCAGTTTACCCAGGAACATAACTGGTTAGGGGCATAATTGGTCAACCAGCTCCAAAAGCCCTATTCCTGATCTACAAAACGTAAGAAATCGATTGGTGGGGCCGGTGCTGAGCAGGTGGGTTAAGGTGCTGCCTGCAGCCCCCATCCTGTGCCATTCTGAGTTCCAGCTGCTGCACTCAGACCCAGCTCCCTGTGCCGGTGGCAAGTAAAAGTAGTAACAGGTGGCTCAAGGAGGTTGGGAGCACTGGGTGGAGTTCCATACTCCTGGCTTCAGCCTGGTCCAGCCCAGTCCCGACCACTGGGACCATGTGGGGAATGAACCTGCCATGGACACAGCTGTCTCTAACTGTGCCTTTCAAATAAGTAAGTCTTTAAAATAAAAATAACCTGTTTAGTAAGCATGCCCTATTTATTCCCATGACCAGAAATATATTATGCACACTAAACTCATTGACATTTTCTCTTTAAATAACTTTAGTGTCTGCTTATCCCAAACAAGAAGCTCCTGTACAGAAACTATTTTCAAATAAGTTGTATTTTCAAATGGCTACTTTAGGAATGAGCATGTGGCTTAGCATTTAAAAAGCTTTTCTCCCCAATCCCAAGTTCTGGTTACTGATGGTCAGCCTAAGAAGCAGCAAGCGATGCCTCAAGTAGCGGGGTCACCGTTGCCTGCATGGCTAACCTAGAATGAACTCCTGGTCCCCAGCACTGGTCACCCCATTATGGGGAAGGAGGCACCACAAAGATGGCCTCGGCTCTTTATCTTACATGAAAGAATCTCCATACAGCCAGATCAAAGAGTTACGCGAGATTTAGGAGGTCAGAAACTCCTGCCACAGCATTCAGGAGGAAGGTTCCAAGAGCAGAAAACCCAGGAAAATGTTGCAGTGTCCTTCAAGTACATTTTAGGTGCCCAGATCAACAGCTAACAACGAAAAGGGCAGGGAGAAGACCCATCAGAAGCAGGAACTGAAATCCTGTCCAGCTCATTCATCACAGGAGTGTGACTGATAACTGATTTCCATGATCAGGTAGAGCTCGCAAGGCTGGGATCACTACCTTCTCCACAGTCTCATGATAAAACCAGGAACTTGGTGGGGCCCGCACTGTAATCTGGCTAAGATGCAGCCCTTCAGGCAAAGCAAGCATCTTCTACACTTGTTTTCTGAGATTTATTTTTACCGGAAAGGCAGATTTACAGAGAGAAGGAGAAACAGAAAGATCCATCCACTGGTTCACTCCCCAAGTATCCAAAACGGCTGGAGCTGAGGGGATCCAAAGCAAGCAGCCTAGAGCTTCTTCCGGGTGTCTCCCACATGGGTGCAGGGTTCCCGGGCTTCGGGCCATCCTCTATGTCTTTCCCAGGCTACAGACAGGGAGCTGGGTGGGAGGTGTGGCAGCCAGGTCACAAACTGCACCCATGTGGAATCCTGCACATCCAAGGCAAGGATTTAGCCACGAGGCTACCTTGCCAGCCATCTTCTGCACTTTTTGAAGGCTCTTCCTTTTCTCATCCCACAGGGACTTGCCCCCATCTACCTTCTGGTCCATCTGACTCCTTACAACTCCCCTCCGAAGGCCACTGTGAGCATTTGGGGAAAAAACTAGCCAGTGTGAGCCCCTTTCTGCTTCTCAAATAAAATTGGCTGCTTTCTTTAGAATCCAGTGTCATGTGCACAGGATTCCAGGCCCAGCCCTACTAGCTAGGGATGTGAATCAATGCCATTTAATCTGAAATGTCTTTTGTGTGTGTCTTCATGCATGGCAGATGCATCCAGGTTATACTGTCTTTATCTTTATTGGCACAGAAATTTTATAAAAACATCAATGATTGTATTCTTTGATACAATTATGTCTTACTTTCTTGAGTCATTGCATTTTTCACATTCCAGACTCCTCAACTGTTTACTCGCCAGAGCTCAGGCCCTTCCTTAAGGGCCACACAAAACCTTGAAAATGCTCAGTCCGCAGGCTCTGGAATGTCACCTCTCTTGGCCACCTTCACACTCTGGAAAACATCCATGGTAGAACACTGGATTTGGCAAGAGTTTGGCTTCACTTTACAGTCTGGATGAAAGTCCACAAGGTTGTCACACGTGCAAGACTGCTACAGTTAGGATTATGGATTCTACTATCCTAGGAAAAATATCCTACTGGAAAACACATGGGTGTTAGTTACTACATCTCATTTTCTTTTTAAAGCTGCCTTTTAAAAAAAAAAAGATTTTTATTTATTTTTGTTGCAAAGTCAGATATACAGAGAGGAGAAGAGACAGAGAGGAAGATCTTCCATGTGATGATTCACTTCCCAAGTGACTGCAATGGTTGGTGCTGCACTGATCCAAAGCTAGGAGCCAGGAACCTCCTCCAGGTCTCCCACTCAGATGCAGGATCCCAAGGCTTTGGGCCGTCCTCAACAGCTTTCCCAGGCCACAAGCAGGGAGCTGGATGGGAAGCCAGGCTGTTGGGATTAGAACCGGCGCCAATGTGGGATCCTGACACGTTTAGGGCGAGGACTTTTGCCACTATGCCCTGCCGGGCCCATGTCTCTTATTTTGTTATGAAGTTCTCATCACTCATTCTAGAAAAGTCATATATATATATTTCATATATACACATAGATATGAAAAGTCATGTATATAGTCATATATGTCATATATATACTTCATATATACGTATATATATGAAATTCATGTTTATTATCCCAATCCACAAGCAGGGAGCTGGATGGGAAGTGGAGCAGCTGAGGTACGAAGCAGTGCCCATATGGGATCTTAGTGTATGCAATGTGAGGACTTCAGCCACTAGGTTACTGTACCAGGCCAAATCTTTTATTTTTATTTTTTAGCATGGATTTATTTTTATTGGAAAGGCAAATCAGATTTACAGAGAGGAGAAAGATCCTCCATCTACTGGTTCACTCCCCAGATGGCAAAAATAGCCAGAGACAAGCCAATCAAAACCAAGAGCTAGGAGCCTCTTCCAGGTCTCCCGTGCAGGTGCAGGGTCCCAAGGCTTTGGGAGATCTTCCACGGCTTTCCCAGATCCTAAGCAAGGAGCTAAACGGGTGTGCAGCAGCCGGGACATGAACCAGTGCCCAATGGGATCCTGGTGCTTGTAAGGTGCAGGTTTGGCCTCTGGGTGATGGTGCTGGGTCCATTCCTTCTGCTCTTTTCAATGACGCTGATATCGGTAACATGTCAGACAACCTCATCTCTGGATCATGCGGTATAAAAAAACCTCTCCTTTTATTAATATGCTCCCAAACTTAAGTGTTACAAGCCTATATGCAAGCTCCCCAATGTCACCTGAGATGGTAAATATTTTAACGAAGCTCTTAATGAGCGCATTAACGTTCATAATATCAACTTCGTATATTAACCCCATAAAATGAATCTTTCGATAATTGCATTACACTCATTAGGGAACTTTCACTATTATGTGGTCATGGGTAATGTAAAAACCACCTCACAGAGAAATCACTACTTAAAACATAATTAAAGGCCAGCTCTTACCACATATCCATCCTTTCCAACATTTTGCAAGGAAAGACTCGTCAGATGCACTGCAAGTTACCCCCAGAATCAAACTAAAAATAACTGGCTGCAACTTAAAATTACAGTGCCGCCTTTAATAGGAAAGCGGTTCATTTTTCGCAGGACCAAACAGTCCTAACAGTGCCTCTGGTAGGTAAGCTACACAACCCAGAGTAAGCTTAGGGGCGATAAGGTACTCTTCGCAAATGTAAACCCACCCACCGAGAACGACCGGATGGGGGTGTTACGTTCCAGCAACTGGTGATTTAAAGTTAAACCCGCTTAACCGTCTGTGTGACTAAAACCTCTGCCACGATAAGATGCCATCTTCCCTACTCCTAGGCACAGTACAAAGGGCGTAAGGCGAGACAGCAGTTAATCAATAAACTTCCAGAATAAAAACTGCCCAACAGGCGAGGCGAAAAGACTGCCATTGGCTCCTTCCATTCCTGTCTCCCTGTGCTCGCGTGCCCATGCCAGTGTCTCCAAGGAGCGGGCAGCGCCAGCCGGGGGAGCGGCCTGGCCCTCGGGCCGGCGGCGTGCCCTGGCAGCCTTCCCTCGAGGCCAGCGTCTGCGTCCCCGCTCTCCTCCTCCTTGGTGCCTCCAGCCAAGAGGCGGGAGTGACCCCAGGCAGCTGACCCGGCCAGTCCCTGCCTCTCGCACAGCCCTCAGGACACACCATGGGCACGGAGGCGGGCGTGCGACGCAGCAGCGACGACGCAGGCGGCGGCCCGGGCGACTCTCAGCTGCCTCCCTGACCGCCGCGACCACCGGCAACACACCCCCCGGCCCCGGAGAAGCCGATCGCCAGCGCGGCCGGACGACTCCGGCACCGCAAAAGCCTTCCTCACTAGCGACTCAAGCTACGTCAACAACCATGGCGGGCGAGGGGCGGCGGGCGGAGCCGCTGCGGGAGGAGGGGTGGCGGCTGCACGTCACTCCCCGGGCCCCTATTCGGGAGGGCCGGCGTCGGCTCGCCCCGCAAAATGGCGGCCCCGGCGACGGGGACGCGCCTGCCTACGCCACTCCGTCGCGCCAGGGCCGCCGGGAAGTGAGGTTTTCGGAAGAGCCTCCAGAAGTGTACGGCGGTGATGACGAAAAACCCCGGGTGAGCCAAGAAAAGTCCCCGGCGGGGAAGCGAGTCCCGGCCGAAGATTCGTTCCGGCCCGAATCTGAGAAAGGGGAATTGAGAGAAAGCGCTTATTACCTCCGGTCCGGGACGCGGAGGCAGCTGCCAGCCCAGGGCGCCAGGGAGATGCAGACGCGGAGGGCTTCCCGCCGGCTCCAGCAGCTCTCACCGCAGCCCCCTCCAGAGCCGTCTCCCGTGACGACCCGGAGGTGGTTAGGGGACCCCGAGCCCTCGGCAGGTGAGGACGGCGGAGCTAACAGTCCCCCAGCCGCCGGCGGGGCCGCGCTGCTCGCGGCGGGCGCGCGAGGGCCCTTGGCCGGCCCAGCCCCTCGGCCCCGGGGGCTTCCCGGCGGCGGCGGCTCGGGAGGAGGGCGGACTGGCGGGCGGGCGCTCGGCGTCCCCGGCCGCGCGGCGGGGAGGGAAGCAGGGCGTGCGTCGCTGCGGGCCTGCCGCGGGCGGGCGGGCGCTCCTTGCGGCTCGCCTGCATCGCAGTTCCTGCTGCTGCTTGTAGCCGACGCCGCTTGCATTTCCTTTGACGCTCCCAGGCCAGCGGCGCGCGCCTGAGAAGCATGGGTTCTGGTTTAGCATTCCCTAGTCTGTCCCCGTCTTCATCTAGGTGGGGAGAAGTGGGCACGGGGGGCGTTTTGTGGGATAGTGGAGTAGTGAGTGACCGGCCCTCCCACGCACAGTACTTAGAGTGGGAGTCTGGCACTCACGCTCAACTAAAGTTGCCCAGTGTCTGAAGAGCTGAACCCGATCCCTTTGTCTTGAACATGGTGGTCCGTGCCAGCAGCTCCTAAGGCCGCCTGGCAGGTGGACAGCCCCGCCTAACCAGACTAATGAGGAAGTGTCTGTTGGAGGGGACCCGAAGGATGCTGGCGAAGTGAGTGCAGGGAAATCCCAGAGAAGCCGGGCTCGCGGCCCTTCCCCCAGCTCGAGCAGCAGGGGAAGTTTGAGGTTAGCCCTACTGGAGGTGTCTGTGAGGTCCGCTTTGTGTCACAGAGGGAGGCCCTGGGGCCCAGCTCTGATGACTAAAGGGGAGTGGGTTTTCAGCTTGCAGCACTGGAATAGGTTGGTTGCTAACAGGATGCTAATGCCTTAGAAGGCTTACTGATTGGGGAGTTAAATGGGAGTTATACTGGTTATACTGGCGTGTTCATCTGCTTCTCTTCTGAACGTAAGAAAGTTCCTGACGGCTAGCATCCTAACGTATTTACGCATTTCGTTTCTCTCCCAGTAGCTGGGAGACATTGGCACTTGGGAATACGTGTCCCCTATCTTGACTCCCACAGGGCCTGACACAATGACATCGTCTAAAAAAAAATTAGGGAATCTCCCGCCATTTTAGCAACTTCTGCTCTTTTTTTACTCTTCCATCAGGCATTAGCCCATCTTAATTTAAGAAAAAAACTTTAATGATACAGAGAGGACTGATTTAATGGGTATACTTCTAAGAAGAGAAGCATATTTCCTCCTTTTTAATTTTAATTGTACAGTAACAATGAGGACTTTGTAATAAAAATAAGTAAATCTTTAAAAAAGAGAAAAAGTATTGTAGTGAGAACTATATTCAGTTTCTCTTCTATCCCTTTTATTCCCTCTGTGTAACTCCTCCTATCAGATTCATATATAATTTTTAAAAGATTTATTTATTTTTATTGGAAAAGCTGATCTACAGAGAGAAGATCTTCCAGCCCCTGGGTCGCTCCCCAAGTGCCGACAGTAGCCAAGGCTGGGCCAGGCCGAAGCCAGGAGCCGTGAGCTCCGTGCAGGTCACAGAGGAGGAGCCGGAAGGCAGGCGGGTACCCTCGTGGTGTCACGGAAAGCTGGATTGGCAACCTGGTGTAGGCAGGACTCGAGATGGGCATTCTGTCAGAGTGTGCAGGCATGCCAGGTTGCAGGGTATCCTGCTGGGTGCCAGGGCCCTCCCCATCGTAGACTGCATGACAGGAGACAAGATGTCCGTGAGAGAAGGATCTTGTCTCCAGTTCTCTAGGAGGAACTCCGTAGGCCTTCGATGCGTATTGTGGGAATGCTTGCATGATAAACGCCTTCACACCCGACCTCTTTTCTTTCCTGTGTCAGTGCTGAGTGAAGATCCTCTTGCCCACCTTCGCAGACCCGCGCTCAGAAGCCTGCGCTCTGGTAAGAGATTGTCTGGACTATTCACTTTTATAAGTGTAGGTTTGTTTTTAGTAGGGTGGTACCTGCATTCATTTCGTTCAAAGAAACAGTCAGTGAAAGTCCCCCGCTTCTCTGTCCTTTGGGCTGCAGTTTAACAGGAGTGAGGTCAGTTCATTTCTGCAGACTTATTTCTTGGAGATTGAGGACATTCACTTATAAACTATCTTTCTCTCTCTCTCTTTTTTAATTTAACATTTATTTTTATTTGTAAGGCAGATAGACAGAAATTTTCCATCCACCGGTTCATTCCGCAAATGGCCACTACAGGAGCTGGGCCAGTTTGGAGCCAGGAGCCAGGAGCTTCTTTCTGGTCTCCCACGTGGGTGCAGGGTCCCAGGGATTTTGGACCTCCACTGCTTTCCTAATAATAAGCTATGTGCAGTGAGTTAGATGGGAGGTGGCGCAGCTGGCACATTCTGAACTGGTGCCCATGAGTGACACTGGCACCATAGCTAGAGGATTCCCAGCCATGCCCACTGCACTGGCCCCCTACTCTCCCACTTGTAACAGAGATGTTGCTCTGCTAACTGTTATTTTCTGCACCATCTTATTTTTATCTTTATTTAGCATATCTTGAGATAGCCAGCATATAAAAGACTGCCTCATTCTTTTTTTAAGTGTTTCCTTCTAAGATGTCGCTGTGATTCTTCCATTGATACCCAGATTGAGGCCTTGTGGCTAAGGGCTACAAAATTTCACTGCCGCAGTTACATTTATTTTTGACTCAAGTTTTGCAGAATATCCCGTCTAAATAGATTTCATGACTATGAAAAAAAAATTAGGAAGGTCATTCCAGGAGATCTGCTTCATTTTCTGTGTTGAGTGGTTCTTATGGATGCTTCCTCACGAGAACTGAAAGGGAAGTTTACTTCTCGTTGCGTGTCTGTTACTCACCCATCTTCCCTTTGAGAATTCCGGGGACAGCCCTCCTCCTCCTCAGTGTGGTAACCGTGGAATGTGCTAAGGGTTAGATGAAGCTGTGGCTAAGCACCGCATGCTACACCTCCCCTGTACCTCTAATCCGTTTCTTGCTCTGTCTTGCAGATTCAGCATACAAAACAAAAGGCAACACTAAAATGAGTGATTTAGGTTAGTCTGTCCTTTCTTTCCTACACCCTCTCTGGGAGCGTTCTGTTTCTAGAATGCACGCTGGAGTACGTTTGGCCTCTGACTTAAGGTAGCACTTCATTTATCTCCCCGGCTCACAGGTTGTTGGACCAGTGAACCTAATTTTCCTTAGTAATCAGGATTTCTATTTGGTCTAATTATGTTATTACGCAAATTCATTCAAGGATTTAATAACAAAATTAGGTTTTATTAACATTTGTTAAATTCACATTGTCAAGAAGAAGGAAATAGCAATTTAATGATAAACATTTTTTTTCCTGGACCTAGCACAGTAGCCTGGTGGTTAAATCCTCAACCTTGCATCCTTGCAGGATCCTGTATGAGTAACAGTTCATATCTCAGCGACCTCGCTTGCCATCCAGCTCCCTGCGTGTGGCCTGGGAAAGCACTAGAGGATGATCCAAAGCCTTGGGATCCTGCACCCACATGGGAAACCAGGCTTCGGATCAGTTCAGCTATGGCCTTTTCAGAAAAACAGACTTAAAATTTTTTCCTCTTAATTTAGAACCTAGATTTGATTTGATGTTTCATAATTTTATTTGTTCATTTTAAAGATTTGTTTATTTTTATTAGAAAGTCAGATGCACAGAGAAGAGGAGAAACAGATATTTCCATCCGATGATTCACTCCCCAAGTGGCCATCACGGCCAGAGCTGAGCTGATCCAAAGCCAGGAGCCAGGAGCTTCTTCTAGCTCTCTCATGCAGGTGCAGGGTCCCAAGTCTTTGGGCCGTCCTCAACTGCTTTCCCAGGCCACAAGCAAGGAGCTTGAAGGGAAGTGGGGCCACTGGAATTAGAACCGGCGCCCTAATGGGATCCCGGTGTGTGCAAGGTGAGGACTTCAGCCACTAGGCTATCGTGCCAGGCCCAAAATACTTGTTTTTAGTGAAAGTCTGAGTTAGAGGAAGAGACAGAATTCTTCTGTTCACTCCCCGTGGTTGAGATGGCCAGAGCTAAAGCCCCTGTAATTGCTTAAAATAACTTTTTTTGTTTTTCTTAGGGATGTTACTGTTCCAAATAGGATTTTAGTTTCTCAGAAGTTTTACATGAGCATAGAAAAGAATACTTCCTTTAAAAAAAAAGTGGTTTTTTTTTAAAGATTTATTTATTTATTGGAAAATCAGATATACAGAGAGGAGGAGAGACAGAGAGGAAGATCTTCCATCTGATGATTCACTCCCCAACTGAGCCGCAACGGACGGTTCTGTGCCAATCCAAAGCCGGGAGCCAGGAACTTCCTCCAGGTCTCCCATGTGGGTGCAGGGTCCCAAGGCTTTGGGCCGTCCTCGGCTGCTTTCCCGGGCCACAAGCAGGGAGCTGGATGGGAAGTGGGGTTGCCGGGATTAGAACCGGTGCCCATATGGGATCCCGGCGTGTTCAAGGTGAGGACTTTAGCCTCTAGGCCACGCCGCCGGGCCCCCCAAAAAAGTGTTTTAACCTACATGTAACAACCAACTTTAAAATAGAGGAAATTTTAAAAAGGAAGAAAATGGAATTGTAGTCATGCATAGCTATTATTCATCATCAGATTGTGTTTAAATATTATCTGTACTTTGTAGCTTAATTTTGTTACTATGAAAATGAGTGAAATAGTTAAAACCTTACATGATATCGAATCATTGGACAGTAATAATCAGGTTATTTTAAAAAAAAAAAAAACATAGTTTACTTACCTGAGAAGTAGAGAAATAGCAGTAATCCACAGGTTCACTCTAAGTACTACAGTAACTGGGGCCAGGCCAGGCTACACCTGGGAGCCAGGAACCCAGTGTGTGTGCCAGGCACACAGCCAGTGGAGCTGTCCTCTGCCTCCAGGGCACGCTTTGGGAGGAAGGTGGGCTTAGAAGCAGAGCCAGGACTGAGCGCCAGGCTCTCCACTGTGCAGTGCGAGCATCCCAGCCACGTCTGACTATGCAGAAGGCCTGTCCCTCACATGATTTTTCTTAAGTTACCAAGCAATGCTATTTGTAATAGTATGAGAAATACAGCAAAAGTCTTAAAATATTCTGTTTTAGGATCATAAAATCTATACATTCATTGGTTGAACAGGCATTTACTGTTAAAGATTTGTTTATTTTTTTCTGAAAATTCAGAATTACAGAGAGAAGGAGAGACAAAGATCTTCCATCCTCTGGTTCACTCCCCAAGTGGTCTCAGCAGCTAAAGCTGAGCAGAACTGAAGCCTTGAACCAGGAGCTTCCTCCAGGTCTCCCAGGCAGGTACAGGGTCCCAAGGCTTTGGGCCGTCCTCGACTGCTCTCCCAGGCCACAGGCAGGGAGCTGGATGGGAAGTGGAGCACCCAGGATAGAAACCAGCGCCCATTTGGGAGCCTTGCAGATGCAAGGCCGACTTTCACCACTAGGCTACCGTGCCAGGCCTCCCTCAAATTTTTATGATTGAGCATTTGATGTAGCATTTAAAATCCACTGGAGTCACTTATATCTCCAGTTGGAGGCCTGGCAGTGCGCCTGGTTAGCTGCATGCTAATGTGCCCCTGTGTGACAGTGGCAGTTCAAGTACTTGAGTCCCTGCCTCCAATGGAGAAGACCGGGGTGAAGTTCTAGGCCCCACGGTCCAGCCTGGCCTCGGCACGGTTGGAACAGGCATCTGGGGGGATGAGCCCGCAGATCGGAGATCTCTCCCTAGAGTTCTGCATTCTGAATAAATACAACCTGAGGCCAGCACTGTGGGTGTCCGGTAATGCTGTGCCCTGAGATGCCTGCGTACACACAGTCCTGGCCGCTGCGCTTCGGATCCAGCTCCCTGCTAACGTGCCTGGGAAAGCGGCGGAACGTGGCTCGAGTCCTTGGGCCCCTGCACTTGCCAGGAGACCCAGAGGAAGCTACTGGCTTTGTCCTGACTCTGCTCTCACCCGTGCAGCCTTTTGGGAAATACCCAGAAGGTGGAAGATTCCTCTCCTCTGTCTGTAACTCTGCCTTCCAAATAAATAAATCTTTATAGAAAGGTTAAAAATAAGTGTGGAGCTCTCTGCATGTTGGCTGAAAATTAATTCTTCAACTGTCCCAATATTAGCATATACATAAATAGAAAAGGAAACAGTTTTAAGGAACGTTCTGTTTGAAAAATTAATTATTAGGCAAATTGGTTTTAAGAAAATTGACAAAGTTCTTATGTGTATCAACCGTGTAGAATGGAAAAAGGAGATACTGCACAGTTCATGTTTTTCTGATAGCTCAATGAATGAACATGATGCCTTTTAATTATTGTGAATTCTAAAATCGAGTCTACCTTTGTAAAGTTTCATTATACCAAATAAGTTTTAAAGAGTTTAATTTATAAAACACTGTACCCTGGGGCCAGCATGGTGGCATAGTGAGCTAACCCTTCCCTTCAAGTGCTGGCAGCGTTATGGGCCCCAGTTGATGTCTTGGTTGCTCCACTTCGATTGAACTCTCTGGTTGTGGCCTGGAAAAACGACAGAGTATGGCCACGACCTTGAGACCCTGTGTCCATGTGGGAGACCAGGAGGAGGCTCCTGGCTTCTGGCTTTAGATCAGCTCAGCTCTGGGCAAAATAGCATGTTGGCAGTTACTTTCTGCCTCCTTGCCTTTCCTTGGTGGAAGAGGCTGGGGCAAGGGAAAGTCCACTTAGCTGGATTGAAATTAACCTCATTGGCTGCAGGAACTCGCTGCAGGAGCTGGGGATTCCTCATTGCTGAGACACAGATGTCTTCATAGAAATGACTTGAGGGGCCCGGCACAATGGCCTAGTGGTTAAAGTCCTTGCCTTGAATGCCAGGGATCCCATATAGGCGCCAGTTCTAATCCTGGTGGCCCCACTTCCCATCTAGTTCCCTGCTTGTGGCCTGAGAAAGCAGTCGAGGATGGCCCAAAGCCTTGACCCTGCACCTGTGTGGGAGACCTGGAGGAAGTTCCTGGCTCCTGACTCCTGGCTCCTGGCTTCAGGCCATTGCGCTCACTTGGGGAGTGAATCATCGGACGGAAGATCTTCCTCTCTGTATTTCTGACTTTTCAATAAAAATAAATCTTTTTTTTTTTTTTAAATGACTTGAAAGTTTCTAAGATTTTTTTATTGTTATTTGAAAAGCAGGGAACAATAAGAGTTCTTCCTATCACACTCCATTTCTTTTTTTTTTTTTAAGATTTATTTTATTTTTTATTGGAAAGTTAGATATACAGAGAGGAGGAGAGTAAGAGAGAAAGTTCGTTCATCTGATGATTCACTCCCGAAGTGTCCTCAATGGCCAGAGCTGAGCTGACCCGAAGCTAGGAGCCAGGACCCCCTTCCGAGTCCCCCACGTGGGTGCAGGTCCCAGAGCTTTAGGCCATCCTCAACTGCTTTCCCAGGCCACAAGCAGGGAGCTGGATGGGAAGTGGGGCTGCCGGGATTAGAACCGGTGCCCATATGGGATCCCGGCGTGTGCAAGGCAAAACCTTCAGTTGCTAGGCTACTGTGCCAGGCCCCACACTCCATTTTGTTGCACGGGGCCACGCAGCAGCCAGCTTAGCAGGGCTAAAGTCAGGACTCAGGAACTCCATCTGAGATGGCGGGGCCTCGAGTGTGTGAGCCATTGTTGGCTGCTTCCCGTTCACTTGCCTGGAGCTGGCCTGGAAGCAGGGTAGCCAGGACTTGAATGGCGCTCCAGCCTGGGAGACAGCCGTGCCGCAGGTGCCACAATCCGTACCCACTCCCCGGGGCGTTTGTGGTTTCAGAGGCTCCTTGTAATCTTCCCGTGACTATACGTGACCCGCTGGCTCTGGCTTCCTCTCACTTGGAGGCACGTTACCCTGTCCGGGTATGGACAGCTGTTACCCCTTTTAAAGAGCGAATAAAGTTTGAAATGAGTGGAGATACAAACTGAGAAGAAGCGTTCTCTCTGCTTTGTTAAAGAAATCAGAGTCATATAAGGTGTCCACATTTGACCATTAAGCAGTATTGCAGTCCAGTGATTCAGTGCTGACCTTGTATCTGTCATCCTCCAAGGCACGGAGGAGGGCGTTGGAACGGCCCAGATACAGGAACTGCGTTTGGAGTCTGACGTCTGGCCCGCTCGTCGACTGCTCTGAGAAACAGTGATGCGTGGGGCCTTGCTGCAGCCAGAGGCCCCTCTTGGCCCAACTTCCTCTGGCCGCACCAGTGCGCTAGAGAGCTGGGGTGTCAGTTCACCTGGGGCTAGCAGGTGTCTCACAGCAGCTCAGGGAACTTGGCCAAAGAGTGCGACATGGTTAACCCCCAGAGGCTGGGACAGCTTGTGGTGTGGAATTTGGTGTTTCCTGCACACCCAGGCAACACTTTAGAATCCAGGCAGGCATGCGACTGATGGAATCGCCAGCAGTCCAGGAGGAAATGGTGGATTCCAAGTGATTTATTTGTAAGATTTATTTATTTGTGTTGGAAAGGCAGATATACAGAGAGGAGGAGAGACAGAGAGGAAGATCTTCCGTCCAATGATTCACTCCCCAAGTGCTGTGCTGATCCAAAGCCAGGAGCCAGGAACTTCTTTCTGGGTTCCCACATGGTTGCAGGGTCCCAAGGCTTTGGGCTGTCCTTGACTGCTTTCCCGGGCCACAAGCAGAGAGCTAGATGGGAAGTAGAGCTGCCAGGATTAGAACCACCCTTCTATGGAATCCCAGCACTTTCAAGGCGAGGACCTTAACCGCTACCTTAACTGCTACGCTTTGGCACCGGGCCCAGATTCCAAGTGATTTAACAGATAGTTTATGCACTGTGTCTTGATGGTCGCATTCTGTAATTAGGTCTTGTTTATTCAGAAGCATTGACTTTTGATGTTTTATATGACGTGTTTGCTGATCTCTTTCAGAAGCCAGTGTATTCCAACCAGAGCCCGGTTTCTCTGAAGAAGGTACTTTTCTTTTTAAATATCATCCAGTATATTCTAAGTCTTACTCTGTATGTGAGAAACTATTGGTAGTTAAGTAGGAAGTCAGAGCAGAAAATAGGACCTTTTCCTTCAAAAAAAATATGCTTATCAAGACAATACATTGACGAAGACAGGACAGCCTTTGGTTGGATCTTAAGCTGTTGTGTGCTTGAAATCATATTAAGTAAAGCCAATGTTTTCCTTTTGGGATGTGCAATAGCCTGTGATTATGATATTAAAATAATGACGTTCCCAAATTCTTATAACCAGTCTGTACTTTAAAAGTACAAGAGTAAAATTTTTAAACCTGTATAATTGAGATTAGCCACCTCTATACTGAAATACTTGTGTTGCATACACTCCCCTCCCTCAGATGTACATGTAACACACAAGTACGCAGTGATCTCGCCTAGATTTAATAACCGAGTGATTCCCCTCCCCTGTACAGTGAAATTGTTCAGGAGTTTATGATCACAAGCTCGTTTTTGCTGCACAGTACAGCCCCGACGAGAAGGTGCTGTGTTAGCTCTGACTCGTCTTGCTTAGGAGAGGTGCTGTCCCGCACAGGGGGCGGGCGTGCGGCCCTTGCTCCAGGAACAGGGATTCCGGTGAGATAGTACACAGGCAGCAGGCACAGATCGGATCACGGATACAATAGAAAAGTCTCCTTGTCGAATTTGAATTACTCGCTTGTTTCATTTTGACCATTACAATAAGGGCTCCGCTGCTTTGCTGTTTGCTTCTGCTTAGGAGAATCTGAAGATAATGATCAGGACAGCTGCTTCGGGAGCGATGCCACGACAGAATCCAGGGAATCTGTGCAACCGGAAGGTAATGTTGCTTTACGTACATACGGCTTTTCTCATAGGAGCTCTCTTTTTGTGAAAAAGAAAAAAATAAGGTAATAATATAAAAGTATTTAAAAAAAAACATACTTCCAGATTTTTTTTTTGAAAGATTACAGAGGGAGATGAGAGAGAGAGAGAGAGAGAGCAAGAAGGCTTTCCATGTGCTGTTTCATTCCTCAAATGGTTGCAACAGTCAGCTGAACTGAACTGAACTGTAGCCGGGAGCCAGGAGACTCTTCAGGTCTCCCACACGGGTGAAGGATTCCCAAGGACTTGGGCCATCTCTGTTGCCTTCCCAGGTCATACGCAGAGAGCTGGATTGAAAATGGAGCAGCTAGGACATGGACTGGTGTCCACAGGGATGCTCCTGCCACGTGAAGGGTTAACCTGCCGAGCATGGTGCGGCCCCCTGGTTGCTTGTTTTTCTAGAAAAAACAGGCATTTGCCTATCAGCTATGGCATATAAGCATGGTTAGTTCATTTGATCGCAGCCCTAGCCTCCTGCCAGCGAAGAACCTGGAAATCAGCAGGGATCACCGAGCTCATGGATTCCTGCCAGTCACGTGTTTGAGTTGAGCTCCAAGCCCCTGGCTTAGACCCCGGCCCAGCCCGTACGCATGGTAGGCACCCTGGGAGCGAACCAGGCAACAGGAAATATACCCCTCTCTCTCTGTATTTCTCAAACTTGGCTTTTAATTATTAAATTAATTGTCTTGTGTTTTTCACTTTACTGTGTAATAACAAATTACGTAATGTCTAAATGAACTGCTTTTCACCTACTTTGATATTTATTGGAAACAGGATACTTTTAGTCTCGAGGTCCAAGTTCTTTCAGATTTGTAGAGAAACTCATCATCTAGCAAGTAAGATTCATCACATTGTCAGCGATGCTATATGAAAGTTCTTGCCTTGTTTTTGTTTGTTTGTTTTTAAGATTTATTTGTATTTATTTTAAAGGCGGGAGGGAGAGACAGAGACAGAAAGGTTTTTTCATCCGCAGGTTCACTCCCTAAATGGCCACAGTGGCCAGGGCTGAGAAGAAAGTTTGGAGAGGAAAGACAATTTATAGATCAGATGTGGCTCTTTAGAAGCTTTTTAAAAATAAGTTATGTATCGAAGTGTCAAATCCATTGGGACTTATCTATTTTTTTAATTAAATACTCATTGTTCTCTTGTAAAATGTGCCTTTTTAAGGTAACATATGTTTAACCATGTACCTTTTGTTTGCTTTTAGATCACACCACCACATCACGTGGTCAGTCTGCAGAGTCCTCTTGGCAGTCATCACAGAGTACGTAAATACGTGCCTCGTGGTGTGGCCAAATGCTAGTCCCACTTGGAAAGTTTTGTTTATTGGTCCTGGTGTTGTGGCTCAAGGCTAAATCCTCCCCTTGCAAGCACCAGGATCCCATGTGGGCACCAATTCATGTTCTGGCAGCCCCGCTTCCCATCCAACTTCCTGCTTGTGGCCTGGGAAGGCAGTCGAGGACGGCCCAAAGCCTTGGGACCCTGCACCCGCATGGAAGACCCAGAAGAGGCTCCTGGCTCCTGACTTTGGATTGGCTCAGCTCTGTAGCCGGTTTTGGAATGAACTAGTTCATGTAGGATTATTCTCTCCGTATGTCTGATCTTCCTTCCAAATGAAATTAAATCTTGAAAACATATATATATATAATTTTTACTCATTTTACATCTTTAATCACTGTTCCGGAAACAGAGGCAGGCAGTCACACCCAGGCACTCTGAAATAGCATCACAAGCACCTTACCCTGTGTCTGAAGTGCTGTGCCAAGTGCCTGCTTCTGGTTTTGCTTTTGTTTGTTTTATTTTGGGGGTGGGGATTTGGTTTGGTGTAGTTTTTCAGATTAATTTTTTGAAAATGAGGAGGGCGAGGGGAAGAAAGATCTTTTCATATATATTATTTGCTATATATTTTTTTAAGATTTATTTTACTTTCATTACAAAGTCATATATATGAGAGGTGGAGAGACAGAGAGGAAGATCTTCCTTCCGATGATTCACTCCCCAGGTGGCCACAGTGGCTGGTGCTGCGTCGAACTGAAGCCAGAATCCGGGAACTTCTTTCAGGTCTCCTACACGAGTGGGGTCCCAAGGCTTTGGGCCGTCCTTGGCTGCTTTCCCAGGCCACAAGCAGGAAGCTGGATGGGAAGTGGGGCTGCTGGGATTAGAACTGGCGCCCATATGGGAGCCAGGTGCGCTCAAAGCAAGTCTTTAGCCACTAGGCCACCGTGCCGGGCCCAAGAGAGTGAGATCTTGCATCCCCTAGTTTGCTCTCTGTGTGACTGACGTAGTCCCAGCCAAAAGAAGGATCCTACACTCCATCCACTTGTTCTGCGGGTGGCAGGAGCACGGTCCCTGGCCGACAGCCGCTGCTTGCCCAGCTGCGTTAGGAACCTGGATCTGAAGCACAGCACGCGTAATTCCCATCAGCAGTCGCAGGGAATGGCACCCGCGGGTCGGAGCAACTTCCTTCCCCAGGGAGCGTGGGAACATCCACCTTTCTGTAACTGTTGACATGTTCTCTTCTTTATTCATTCTTAAATTAAGATTTACGTGTTTAAAGGAATTACAGAGAGCAGACAGGACAGAAAGAGAAAGGGATGCCTCTCATGCCCTGGTCCACTCCCACATGGCTGTAACCAGCTGGACCTTGTCAGAAGCCATGGGCTTCCCCCAGGGCCCCGCTGTGGGCCCCGCTGTGGGCTCCGCTGTGGGCAGCGCTGTGGGCTCCGCTGTGGGCAGCAGGGCACAAGCACTGGGGCCAGCTTTCGTTGCTTCCCCAGTTGCATTAGCAGAGAGCTGGACTGGAGGTGGAGCGGCCAAGTCTCAAACCAGTTTCCCTATGGGACACTTGTGTTTCAGATGACGGCTTATTAACCCACTTTGCCACAGCACTGGTCCCTATGTGTTATTGTTTTATAGTTGTCCTAAATTGCACTGTATAATTTGAAGGAGCATCTCTTACTTCACGGCTGTGCTGTAATGTCTAGTACTTTACATGTGTAGTACACACTGTTCACGTGGCGTGGTATTATAGAATGGACTATCCGCATTTGTATCTCACCTACTTTTAAATATGTGAGCTTGATAAAATTATGAATATGTAAAATAGGGATGATACTAGTATTTATCACATAAAGCATAAACACTAAGTACATTTACATTTGACGCCTGGTGACCGTTGAATACATTGCCATTATATTGATGGTAATGATGCTGCTTTAGGCTGTCTTCTCGCTATTGTCCAGGTCCTGAGTACTTTAAGGCTTAGGAAAGGGACTCGGTAGGCTCGGGGTGTGATGGGGATGGCTGAGACGCGTGTGTGCTTGCACACTGCCGGGGACCGAGCAGTGTGTGCAAGCTGCGCTCCTCTGTTCTCTCCCCAGGTGCAGAGTTGAGGGCTCAGGACGGGCAGCCTGTGCGGCTCAGTAAGTACTTCATCCGCTGCTCCTTCTCACTCGAGTCTGACTCGCTCTTACTCTGCCAACAAGCGACTGGCAGCATTTCCGGTCATTTTACTGTCTGCTTTTCTAAGCCACACACATCAGTTGTACATACGGTAATTACTCTGGGCTGATGCATCGTAAGTAATTTGCTGCAGGAGTTAATGGCGAACTTTTCTTCTTCATTGTGTCTAATGGAGTATTTTTGAAGTAAATTATTCTCACCATGCAAATAACCTTTGCATTGAGTTTTTCCTATTAGGAGCTAGTATATTACTTTTGCTACTTGGATTACTGCGGAAGTGGTTCAGTGCCTTACTGACATACTTCTGTGAAATTATCTTTTACTTTTGAAATCATTGGTTTTCTTTGTTTTCCTCACCTGTTTATCCTCCCGGAGAGATTCCTTACATAACAAGAATATGGTATGTTTACATATACCATATATATGTACATGAAGTATTTTAATATGTGCATTGTTTTTGCTTCAGGAAACCAAAAGATACCCCAGGAATGGGATGAGCAGACGCTGACCATGAGGGCTGGGATGCAAAGTAAGTAAAAAATTGCTCCTGTTGATTATTCACAAACAAAAATATGTGATTCTTTACCTAAGCAATTAAACTGCGTGTCCCTGGTGAAGGATAGCTCTGCTTACTTGTTTAGTAATTTCCATTTTCTCAGAATAAGCACCAGATGTATGGAGGTATTTTACAAAGTTCCTGGAGAGATAAATTAAAATATGAATTTATCTTGGTGCGGACAGCTGTGAGATCCATCCGTAGTCTGACGTACTGTGCATTTCCTGTGGACTTTGTGAAGGCCCCTGTGGGTCAGCAGCCAGTGAATAATGATGGGTCTACATGGGATAGTCTGCCTCTTTTTTTTAAGATACATTAATTTTTATTTTTTTTATTTTAATTTTTTTTTTTTTAAAGTCTTTCATTTTTTTTTTTTTTTTTTTATTATTTTTTATTGGAAAGGTGGATATACAGAGAGGAGATACAGAGAGGAAGATCTTCCATCCGATGATTCACTCCCCAAGTGAGCCGCAACGGGTCGATACTATGCCAATCCGAAGCCAGGAGCCTCTTCCGGGTCTCCCACGCGGGTGCAGGTTCCCAAAGCTTTGGGCCGTCCTCTGCTGCTTTCCCAGGCCACAGGCAGGGAGCTGGAAGGGAAGCGGGGCTGCCGGGATTAGAACCGGCGCCCATATGGGATCCCGGGCGTGCAAGGCGAGGACTTAACCACTTGCGCCACCGCGCCGGGCCCGATACATTAATTTTTATTGCAAAGTCAGATGTGCAGAGATGAGAGACAGAAAGGAAGATCTTCCGTCCGATGATTCACTCCCCAAGTGACTGTAATGGCTGGTGCTACACCAATCCAAAGCCAGGAGCCAGATCCTCTTCCGGGTCTCCCACACGGGTGCAGGGTCCCAAGGCTTTGGGCTGTCCTCGACTGCTTTCCCGGGCCACAAGCAGGGAGCTGGATGGGAAGTGGGGCTGCTGTGATGAGAAGTGGCGCCCATATGGGATCCCAGTGCATCCAAGGCAGGGACTTCAGCTGCTAGGCCACGGCACCAGGCCCTGTCTTTTTTTTTTTTTTAAGATTTATTTTTAAGGCCGGGCGCAATATCCTAGTGGCTGAAGTTCTCACCTTGCACACACCGGGATCCCGCATGGGCACCAGTTCTAATACCAGCAGCTCGGCTTCCCATCTAGCTCCCTATTTGTGGCCTGGGAGGGCAGTAGAGGATGGCCCAAAACCTTGGGAGCCTGCACCCGTGTGGGAGACCTGGAGGAAGTTCCTGGCTCCTTGCTCCTGGCTCCAGATCGGTGCAGCACCAGCCATTGCGGTCACTTGGGGAGTAAATCATTGGACAGAAGATCTTCCTCTCTGTCTCTCCTCCTCTCTGTATATCTGACTTTGCAATAAAAATAAATAAACCTTTTTTTATGATTTTACTTCTTTCTATAATTATCATTTTATGATGCAGTTCCCATAGGCCCTGGTTTGTCCCTTATTCACTCCCCAGTTCCCTCCCTCCTCACTGAGTTCCCCTATGTCATTACTATAGTATAATTCTTCATACACAGTCATATGTCCATCATTGTGGGCATGGACAATGGCAGAGAGTCCAGTATCCTATTGTCAAGATACAGTAAACAGTTTCATTGGGAGTCCATCTTTGTCTGGAAGTAGAGATGCACACTGTGTTGCATCTTCACATCTGAGTATGATAGTCTCCATTACACAGTTACTATACATCCCTTTAAATGAAAAGCCACAATACAAAACCAACAACATGGAATGCCAGCTTCGCAGACTGCAGCTTCATGTGCTGTGCCACATTGCAAGCCCCTCACTTGCTACCAAGAAAGATGCATGGGGAAAAAGGACTAGGACCCTTCCCCTTCCACCCCCATATTTATTTTATATTTTCTCTGAAAGGCAGAAAAAGAGAAGGAAAGAGTGATCTTCCATCTGCTGGTTCATTCCCTAGAAGGCTGCATGGCCAGAGCTAAGCTGATCTGAACAAAGCGAGGCGCTTCCTCCAGGTCTGTCACATGGGTGCAGGGTCCCAAGGGCTTAAGCCATTTTCCACCAGTCTCCCAGACCACAGGCAGGGAGCTGCATGGAAGTGGAACAGCCAGAGTGTGAAGCAGTGCACATTTAGGATTCAGCACTGCTGGCGGAGGCTTAACTGGCATGTCACAGTGCCAGCCCCAGGACACTTTTCAGTAAGAGTGAAAGCAGAGATTTGGTGGAGCTGTAAAAATATTTTGAGTTCTACTGTTTAATCACATACCTAATACTTGTCTATTACAAATATTAGAAGTCAATTCTGAAAATACTAAAAATATTTGAAATAGAAGGCCAGTAGGGTCAAGATTTTGGGGAGCTGGCATTGTGGCAGAGCAAGTTAAGCCTCCACTCGGAATATCGGCATCCAGTGTCAGCATTGACTTGAATCCCAGCTGCTCCACCTCTGGTCCACTTCTCTGCTAAGGTGCCTCAGAAAGCAGCAGAGGACGGGGCCGGGTCCTTGGCCCTTGCCACCCATGCACGAGGCCCAGACTCTGAGTTCTTGGCTCCTGGTTTCGTGTCAGCCATTTTGGGGATGAAAGCTGCCTTTCTTGTCTCTTTTTTATTACTTTGCCTTTCAAAAATAAAGAAAGAAAGAAAATCCATCTTAAAGAAACTAAAATGAGTTTTGTATCAAAGCCCCTTATTCAGATGGCTCAGTAATCTAGTGTACATCTCATTCTTCTTCGCCATTCACAGCGTCTGCACCAGGCAAGGGTGTAGTTCAAGGCCACGTTTCCGACGGTATCCGTGCTTCCTTCTGTTCTCATGTGCTTATTTTCTTTGCACCCTTTCACTTTGTCTTAGAAGTTTACCGGCCTCGTTAAATGATCGTGGCTCAGATACACATCCAAGGCTTTCTCCCCGCTAAGTGTGGTGTGCACTTCTGCTAGGCCGGCACCTGCTAAGCTAACCGCGAGGAATGGATCCTGCACCCCAGCGAGCTGCAGTGGCACAGGCTCTGCTGCTCGGGTTGACCTCCGCATGCTCTCGATAAACCTCTGCGCTCTTTCGGTAGCAAAAACAGATACTGAAACTATGGAATACAAGTTACTGATCTTTTAAAATTTCTTCTTTCATTAGATGACAGAAATCAGAAAGCCGAGCCAAGAAACCACTCTCCGCTGATCAGCCGCCACCGTAAGTTGGTCTCTTCCATTTGTGTTTGGTTTTTTGGTTTTTTTTTTTTTTAAGATTTATTTTATTTTTATTGCAAAGTCAGACATATACAAAGAAGAGGAGAGACAGATAGAAATATCTCCTGTCCGATGATTCACTCCCCAAGTGACCACAATGGCTGGTGCTGTGCTGATCCGAAGCCAGGAGCCCAGATCCTCTTCCAGGTCTCCCACAGGTGCAGAGTCCCAAGGCTTTGGGCCGTCCTCAACTGCTTTCCCAGGGCACAAGCAGGGAGCTGGGTGGGAAGCGGGGCCACCGGGATTAGAACCAGTACCTATAATGGGATCCCAGCGCAATCAAGGTGAGGACTTGAGCCAGTAAGCCACAGTGCCGGGCCCTCTTTCTTTATACTAGTGAAGGACCCCAGAGAACTTTTTTGATTAACAAATATATACATTATCAGTATTTACCTGAAATAATTGAAATTGAGAATTGTTAATGTTGCTTAGGTTTTTTTAAAGTAGTTTAGCAAGAAGGATGACTGTTTTGCATTTATTTAAAAGTCTTGTAATACCTAGATTAGTAGAGTTTTCCTGCATTCTTTCGGGTAGTCAGCCTGTGCAAAGAGACTGTTTGACTAAAGTATCTGCAGAAAATCAGCCTCGGACAGATAGGAATATCCTTGTCAGATAATTCTAGATACTCCTTTTTGGTAATTTCTGAAACTCGCTTCTTTGATGTCATTTGAAGTGTGCAGACATGCCAGTGACCTGATTCTCACGGTTACAGTAAGATCCGTTGACCTTTCTTGTACTCTGAGAGGCATTGCATGCCCTGAACACTGGGGAGATACTGCTTCGCCAGTGTCTAGAGAGCTTCCTGATGCTCACACCTGCACAGTACAGTGCCAAGGAGTACAGCTGTTACTCTCACCAGCAGCCCCAAGACTCTCAAACAAATCAAGTAATTGGGAGCTACCAACGTGTGCTGACAGAGTGAATATTTCCTAACTCCTAATTCCCACTTGAAAACCTGAGTGTGATTTTGTTGCCACTTGTTTTCCTACAAAGCAGCTTTGTTCATTTTGGATAAAGTCTAGCGATGGATGCACAAGCCTGACTTGTCTGGTAACCGACTCAGTATGCGGCTCCGTTGCCGTGCAGAGGTCTCTTCCTTGGGACAAGCCTTGCACTGTGCTGTGCAGCGCACGAACTTGATGCTTCTTCACGCAGAGCATAGAGATGGCAATGCTTAAGGGTTGCAATTTAACAGGATAAATACTTTTTATGAGGAACAGCAAGTGAAACTGTTTTTGTTTAACCTTGAGTACAGCACACACTGGCTGTACCAGTAGATTCCGTGCCACTGCCCTTTGACCGGAGGTTTGCCCCACATTTGTTTTTGCACCATCAGTGCAGATATCTGCACCGTGGGGAGGATCACACGACCCTGTGGGTCTCGGGAGGAGCTCGAAGCACACGGACCAGCGCATTGAGCGTGCTGCGGGCAGCCGGGACAGTGAGCCCGAGGCGCCTGTCAGCCAGGGCGTCCAAGTGCTGCTGTGACGGGCATTATGGTAATTGAGCGTAGGCAGCAGTATGCGGAGAAGCAGTAAATGTATGGAAATGTGCAGAATTGTTGCCCATAACTGGGGACTAGTTGAAAGCTAAATTTAACTAGTATCAACTTGCGTATCACAAAAAAGATGCACATCAGTGTGATTAAGGGAAAGGTACATATTATAGTGTGTGGGGGGTGCTTCAGGAGGTTCATGTACCTGGAAAATATTCACTTTTATTACAGATTTCTTTAAAAAGACTTATTTAGGGCCTGGCGTGGTAGCCTAGCAGCTAAAGTTCGTGCCTTACACACACCGGGATCCCATATTAGCGCTGATTCGAATCCCGACAGACCTGCTTCCCATCCAGCTCCCTACTTATGGCCTGGGATAACAGTCTATGTAGGAGACCCCAAGGAGGCTCCGGGCTCCTGGCTTCAGATTGGCTCAGCTCCTGCTGTTGTGGTCACTTGGGGAGTGAATCAACAGAAGGAAGATCTTCCTCTCTGTCTCTCCTCCTCTATATATCTGACTTTCCAACAAAAAGAAAGTGACTTTTTTTTTAAGAAAAAAGACATATTTTCTTATTTTACTTAAATGTGTTACAGAGAAAGGGAGGGAGAAACAGAGAAAGATCTTCCATCCTCTGGTTCACTCCCCAGATTGCCGCAGTGGCTGGAGCTGGACTGGTGTGAAGCCAGGAGCCAGGAGCTCCTTCTGGGTCTCCCAAGTGGATTTGAGCACCTAAGCGCTTGGGCCATCCTAGCATGTTAGCAGGGGGCTGTGTCAGAGGCAGAGCAGCTGGGCCCTGAGTCAGCACCTATAATGAATGCTGTGCCCACTACGCTCCAGCAACTGCCCCCTGCGGCCCTTTCTCTGTGCCTGCCTTTACTTCAGAAATATTCTGTCTCAGATACGAAGCCATACAATCTGATAGCTTAGTACTATTCATTTTGCAACTATTAGCAGTGGTAGTAATAGCTTTGGCTTACCCTTTCAAGCATTGAAGGTTCCTCAAAGACTTTCTCATTTTATATTAAAGATACATGTGTCACCGAGTGTGTGGTTTGCTTGGAAACATACCAAATTATTTTGGTTGTTTAAGAAAGAAAGTGTCAACTCCCTTCTTTAAAGTCCTTCCTCTTTTACCTAATGTTACAAAAAGCGGTATTGCACTCGCTCTCAAGCCTAAGAAAATGTTATGTCATTTGCGGGATTTTTTTTTTATGCAGAAGCAACTGAACAAGCCCCCAGTGAGCCTAGTGTCAAGGTGCAGTGGTGGTGGTGTCTGCTTGTTCTCATACCTGCTCTGGCCTACTGGCTGTCTTGGTTGTATTACACCCCTGAGGCGGACACCTCCGCCGTCCGGCAGTTCCAGGACCAGATGAAGCAACTGAAGAATAAGTACCAAGCTCAAGACGAGAAGCTCTGGAGGAGGAGCCAGATGTTCCTGGAAAAGCACCTGAACAGCTCGCAGCCGCGGCCGCAGCCTGCCATCTTACTGCTCACGGCGGCCCGAGATGCCGAGGCCGCGCTCAGGTGCCTGGGGGAGCAGATCGCCGACGCCTACTCTGCCTTCCGCAGTGTCCGCGCCATCCGCATCGACGGGGCGGGCAAAGCTGCCCAGGACAGCGACACCGTCAAGCTGGCCGTGGACGCGGAACTGAGCGACGGCTTCGAAAACGGCCAGAACGCCGCCGTGGTCCACCGCTTCGAGTCTCTGCCGGCCGGCTCTACTTTGATCTTCTACAAGTATTGTGACCATGAAAATGCAGCCTTCAAAGATGTCGCCCTGGTCCTGACCGTCTTGTTGGAGGAGGAGACGCTTGACACCAGTCTAGGCCTAAAGGAAATCGAGGAAAAAGTGAGAGATTTCCTCAAAGTCAAGTTCACCAGTTCGAACACCTCCAGCTCCTACAGTCGAATGGACCCGGACAAGTTGAACGGCCTGTGGAGCCGCATTTCCCACCTAGTCCTGCCCGTGCAGCCCGAAACTGCCCTGCAGGGGGGCAACTGCTTGTGAGAGGTGGAGGAGGAGAGAATCATGTCTCCCAAGTTCTGAGAATGTTCCAGACTTTCTAACCAGACACAGAATTTAAAGCACTTTTGAAAAGAACTGGTTTCTTCTGAAAGGAAGTTAAGTTCTTGTGTAAACATGAAACATCTAAGTGATTGATCTGCCCTGAGTATCAGTTGCTCGGGAGAATCCTCGCCCTCCTGACGCTGAGGGCCGGGTTGCAGGTGGTGCTGCTGCGGGAAAGCCATCTGGCCCCCGGAGGGCTCAGGCCGAGCCAGGTGGGGCACAGCCCGTGCCTGGGTGGGTGGGTGGCGAGGCTTCTTCCTCAGGAATCGGCCAGTGTTTCTGATTTTGATTTTCCACAAGGTTTGCTGCCTGATTAGTGAGGCAGCTCCCCGAGAGGAGCCTGGGTCCTCCCGTTGTGTTTCCCTAGTGATCATTTCCTCAGTCCCGAGTTCCTTGGCTTCTGCTTGTAGACCCAAGTGTGACGGAAGGTCATCTGGGAGCGTGCGCCTTTTGTTCCCTCCTGCTGTTGAAGGGCAGAGGAGGCGGCCCAGCAAGAGGGAAGCTGGGCAAGGGGACCCGGGGAGGATGCAGAAGATGAAGTGTGACGGTGAGTAGGATAGTCAGACGTGGGTATCTGAACTCTGACCTCAGCGGGATCTTTTGGGATTTGTTTGAATCATTTCCTTTTTGTTTTAAAACATGTCCCAGTCCTTCGCAGGTGTTTCTTGGAGCCTGTGTATCACAGGCCTCATCTGTTTGCGTGTTTTCTCAGAAGGGTGGGGACATGCATGCAGAGCAGTTTGCTTTGCACTTGCCCGAAAGCTTTTTGCTTTGAGTGAACAAGCAGACTCGGTAACCCTTCCCAACCAGCTGTCCGGGACAGTTGAAGACAACTGTTAATTTGCTGTGTGTCCATTGCTGCAGTCGGAAGCTTTTCGTGACGCCGTCTAGCAAGTGTAAACATATGCTATGCACGTGATAAATTTTATTGAGTGCCTCAAGCAACACACATAGTGAACTTACCACATCAAAAGAATATTAAATGTATTTCTGTGGTATTACGGATTGTAGTTGTGCCGTGGCTTCCGTGAGTGAGCTTTCTCCTCTGCTAACTGCATTCTACTGCATTCTTTTTTATTTTCTCAAATATTTTGATTCTAAATAATTGGCCCTTTTGCTTTCTTTTTTTTGCTATCCGTAGAGCCTTAAAATGCTGATTTTAAAGTTTTCTAGCCAGTCATTGGCGTCATCATTTAATCTTTGAGCGTCTCACAACTGGCGATAGATAGTGAGCTAAATTTTTCTACTAGGACTGCCAGGGCTCAAACGCATATCCCTGATTGTAATATGCTGTTACAGAGAATTGTAAGACAAGAATTTTCCAAAGGTTATTTTATATATACGTACTATATAGAGAAACATATGTTTTTATTAAATGTTTTCACTGACCCAAATAATTTTAAAATGTTACTTCTGTCTTTCAGGAAAAATAATTGTAATAGCTCATCAGTAAATGACTTGGAAAGCTATTTTAGTAATTTAAATAAATTTGCTCTCTTGGTTTGTATTTTCTCTGTATTATAAAACTTAATGTTGAAACTTCTTTCTTTGTTCAACCCCAAGTGTGTTCTTTCCACCTGTGAATTTTACTGATTAAGCTAAACGAGACACAGCGTTGAGCGGGAGCCGTTCTCCAGTGTGTTGGTTAGAAGTGAAAGAGCCGTGACTTGTTTCACACAGGGTTTTGAATTATGAACATAGAGTTCATTAATGTATTTCTGGCTTGGCAACTGCATCGCACTAACAGTGTTTCCTATTTTTGTTGTTACTTTCCAAAAGAGCCTCTTTAGTTTTTTTTTTCCCTAATCATCCCTTTTCATGACATTCTAAAAGCAGACGTGTCTGTGTTCTGCAGGTATTTTTGTGCTTTATACAAAATCGGTGTTTTTTTAACTTCTCCTGGGAATTCATGATCAAGAGTCTGTGACCTAGACAGTGTCTACCTCAGGCGTCACTCTGAGCACTGCCTGTTGGTGACCCCAGTGACTCGGCAAGCCGCGGGGCACTGTGGCATTGGCTTCCTTGTGCGAAAAGCAGAAAAAGAGCTCCCCTCTGCTCGTTCCTTTTCCGAATGCCCGCTATGGCCAGGCCGGACTGGAGCGAGCTGGGAACTCGGTAACTGAGATCTCCCTCGGTGGGGCGGTGGGAATGCCATCACCTGAGCCATCACGTACTAGCTCCCGGAATCCCCGTTAACAGGATCAGAAGCCGGAGACAGGACTTGAAGCCAGGTACTCTGTGGTGTCATATTGTAGGCTAATCCCTGCTGCCTCGGTGTGGTGAGTGACCGAGCGAGAGGAGCGCAGTGTCTGGTGCCTCCTCCTCAGGCCCTGACTGTGTTATCCCTGTCATCAGTATGTGCATGGTCATGATCTCATCAGGTGCTCACATGTCTGTTAGGTAAAAGAGGAAGCTGTGGTGCTGTGGCATGGTGGGTAAAGCCAATGCCTAGGAAGGCTGCATCCCACATGGGTGCCAGTTCAAGTCCTGCCTGTGCTACTGATCCAGGTCCCTGTTAATGTGTTTGGTATAGTAGCAAAGAATGGCCCAAGTGCTTGGTCCCCAGCTTCCACCTTGGAGGCCTCGGAAGAAGCTCCTGGCTCCTGGCTCCTGGCTTCAGACTGGCCCAGCTCCAGCCATTGCAGCCATTTAAGGAGTGAAACACTGAATGAAAGATCTCTCTCCAGGCCGTTTTCCCAGGCCACAGGCAGGGAGCTGGATGGGAAGCAGGGCCGCCAGAATTAGAACCAGCATCCATCTGGGATCCTGTTGCTCACAAGGTGAGGACTTCAGCCCCATGTCTTTTTTCTTATTATTATTGTGAAGTCAGATAGACAGAGAGGAGGAGAGACAGAGAGGAAGATCTTCCGTCCAAAGATTCACTCCCCAAGTAACCACAATGACTGGAGCTGAGCTGATCCGAAGCCAGGAGCCAGGAATTTCCTCCAGGTCTCCCACGTGGTGCAGGGTCCCAATGCTTTGCACCGTCCTTGACTGCTTTCCCAGGCCACAAGCAGGGAGCTGGATGAGAAGCAGGGTCGCCGGGATTAGAACCGGTGCCTGTATGGGATCCCTGTGCATTCAAGGCAAGGACTTTAGCTGCTAGGCCATTGTGCTGGGCCCTTAGCCCCATGTCTTATGCAAATTAATGGATGCTGTTTCCTAGACCAACCCACATTTCAATCCTCTACACACTGAACCCTCACATAACACCAGTGGAAACTGCAGCCCAGTCAAAGCAGCTCCCAGTAACCACCCGCTGGGCGGGCCCCCAGCCTGGATCCTTGCCTGCCTGCATGTGCAGCAGGGTCATTCAGTCTGCCCCACATCCCGTTCAGATCTCGTACACATCATTGGACATTGAAGCTTAACCCGACTGATTCCACACTCCAGCCAACACTCACACCAGCAGGTGCCACCGCCTGTGCAGCCAGGCCTGCCCCTAGTCCTGGTTCTCAGGCTCACCAGTGGGAGGTGCAGCCCAACAAATTCCTCCACTTTTGAAGAACAGCTTAGTTTGGATTTTTTTTTCCTATTACCTTAAATGTATCATGCTACCCTCTTATGGACTGTAGGATTTTCACTGAGAAGTCTCGTGTTAATCTAATTGGTTTTCCTTTCTATATAATTTGACCCTTCTCCTACCGTCTCTAGAATTCTCTCCTTGTCTCTAACTTGATAATTGACTATATTATACCTTGGAGAAATATTTTTTCATCAAGTCTACTTGGGGTTCTTTGAAATTCTTACATCTTGGAGAGGCCCAAGTATCTTTTAAGACCTGGGAATTTTTCAACTATTACTTCACTTAGTAGATTCTCACTGCCTTTTTCTTTTCATCTGCAATTCTGACTTTCAAATATATAAAGCAATTTGGTGCCGGTGCCATGGCATCATAGGCTAAGCCTCTGCCTGCAGTGCCAGCATTTCAGATGCATGCAATCGTTATCCCAGCTGTTCCCCTCCTGATGCAGCTCCCTGCTGATAGCCTGCAAGGGCAGCAGAGGAATGGCGCCAGGCCTTGGCACCCAGCACTCCTGTGGGAGACCCAGAAGAGGTGTGTGTTTCTGGCTTCAGACCAGCCATCACACCCATGGGGGCAGTAAATGGTGGACATAAAACACTTCTCTTTGTCTCTATAAATCTGCTTTTCAAATAAAAAACTTTTACAAAGTTAAGTCTTTAATGAAGAGGATTTGGTGCACAGAGTGGGAGTTCTTCAGAGGACAGCCTGCACTGTCACCTCTTCATGGGTTTTGTCAGCTGCAGAGAACCGCAATCTCTGAGACCATGCCTGAGCGGGAGTCGCATGCAGTCGCTGACTGGGCCAGGGGGACATAAAGGCTTGGCTTGCTCAGTCATGTATACTTAGAATTCCCCAGAGGGGCCGACTGGCTCCTACATTATAGCCTGGCTTCTCCCCCTCCCCTAACCTTCTCCTTCCACAGGTGGAAGAAAACATCCCGCTAATTTTGTCTCCAAATTTTATCTAAATGGGTCCAGCGCAGTAGCCTAATGGCCTAAGTCCTCGCCTTACAAGCACCGGGATTCCATGTGGGTGCCAGTTCTAATCCCGGCAGCCCAGCTTCCCATCCAGCTCCCTGCTTGTGGCCTTGGAAAGCCACATCTTTGGACAGTTTAAAGCCTTGGCACCCTGCACCCATGTGGGAGACCTGGAAGAGGCTCCGGGCTCCTGGTTTCGGATAAGCTCAGCTCCAGCTATTGCAGACACTTGGGGAGTGAATCAGCAGATGGAAGATTTTTCTCTCTGTCTCTCCTCCTCTTTGTATATCTGCCTTTCCAATAAAAATAAATAAAGCTTTAAATCTTTTTTTTTTTAAATCTGAGTCTCCTTCCCTGAGAACCTAATCCATGTATAAAGTGAGTACTTAAGCACTAATGTTTGGGGTCAGTAAGTGCCAGGCAGCGTGCCAGGCACAGTGCATGTAGCAGCTGTGTCGTTCTCCTAGTTTGTGAAGAAGGTACTACCGCCTTGTGGCAGGAGCAAAGGAGAAGTCAAATCTGTGCTGTTAATGACCGTTAGAACTCACACTTGAATTTGGCTAGTCTGACTGCAGAACCTGTATTCTCTCTCTCTCTCTCTCTCTCTCTCTCTCTCTCTCTCTCTCTTTAAAGATTTATTTGCTTTTATTGGAAAAGTAGATCTACATAAAGAAGGAGAAACAAACATCTAGCATCTGCTGCTTCACTCCCCAAGTGGCCACAGTGGTCAAAGCCAGGCTGATCCGAAGCCAGGAACAGAAACCTCCTCCAGGTCTCCCATTTGGGTGCAGGATCCCAAAGTTTGGGCCATTTTTCATTGTCCTTCCAAGCCGTAAGAGGGAGCTGGATGGGAAGTGGAACAGCTGAGACATGATCTGGCACCCATATGGGATCCCGGAGCATGCAGGGCGAGGACTTTAGCCACTAACCATCATGCCAGGCCACCTGTATTCTTTTGATACTTGAGAGGCAGTAAGATAGACAGAGCTCCCATCTGCTGCAGTACCCCAGGTATCCCCATCTGATGCAGTACCCCAGGTATCCCCATCTGATGGAGTACTCCAGGTATCCCCATCTGATGCAGTACCCCAGGTATCCCCATCTGATGGAATGCCCCAGCTATCCGCATCTGATGGAGTACCCCAGGTATCCCCATCTGATGGAGTACCTCAGGTATTCCTAACCGCCAGACCCGGACCAGGGCCAGAACTCAGAGTTGGGGACTCAATGCCACCTGGATTAAAACCCAGTTATTCCTCCATTAGCGTCAAATTAGAATTGGGAGCCACAACTAGGTCTTTTTTAAGATTTTTTTTTTTTATTGGAAAGGCAGATATACAGAGAGGAGGAGAAACAGAGAGGAAGATCTTCCATCCGATGATTCACTCCCCCAAGTGACCGCAATAGCCAGAGCTGTACCGATCTGAAGCCAGGAGCCTCTTCCAGGCCTCTCACGTGGGTGCAGGGTCCCAAGGGCTTGGGCTGTCCTTGAGCACCTTTCCAGGCCACAAGCAGGGAGCTGGATAGGAAGCTGGGCTGCCAACTAGAACCAGTACCCATATGGGATTCCATTGCGCTCAAAGCGAGGACTTTAGCTGCTAGACCACTTTAGCTGCTACAACTAGGTCTTTTAAAAAGCGCTCTGATGTGATATTCTAGCTGTCACTGAAATCTGCAATCCTGAGCATTATTCTACCTTCATTTCTTAAGGAATAAACATGTTAAAATTCATCTTATGAAGTTTATTTTTTTTTAAGATTTATTTATTTATTGGAAAGTCAGACATACAGAGAGGAGGAGAGACAGAGAGGAAGATCTTCCCTCCGATGATTCACTCCCCAAGTGAGCGCAACGGTCGATGCTATGCCGATCGAAAGCCAGGATCCAGGAGCTTCTTCTGCTTCTCCCACAAGCGGGTGCAGGGTGCCAAGGCTTTGGGCCGTCCTCGACTGCTTTCCCAGGCCACAAGCAGGGAGCTGGATGGGAAGTGTGGCTGCCAGGATTAGAACCGGCGCCCATATGGGATCCCGGGCATTCAAG